GGTTTTTTAAAAAAAAAAAAAAAAAAAAAAAAAAAAAAAGAAGTTCCTTCTGTTATGCCTTCCCAAATCCTCAAATTCAATCTAGGTTTCCCTCTATTTTTTTTTTTTCTAGATTTTCGTGAATGCTACTGTCATTTCTGTACTTACTACCATGCTTGGCACATGGTGGGCACATAAAACTTGCCAAATGCCAGAGCAGGAGTTTAACTCTTTGAGGAATCCCATCATTTAATAGTGAGTATACAAACAGATAATGCCCAGATAATATATTACCATAGAACTGTGACCCATAACAGCTGCGCTCAACAGCCCACAACAGTCAGGACTTGGTTAATGACTGCCATCTTCCCAACTATGCTCCCTAATCCAACTCCACAGGATGCTCCCCTTTCAGTTAGCCTGCTTCCAGCTTCCCCATGCCAACAATCTCCAATCAGGGCACACCTGAATCCTTTCCTTTTTGTCGTGATAAAGCTTTCCCACTCTCCTGCCTGCCTTTGAGTCACTGTCAAGCCGCAAGTTATGGTGGCCCACTCACTCCCTTGCTATATAGCGAGCTCTGAATAAATCACCTCTGCTTGATCTCATTTAGATAATCTTCATTTATTTTCAGTTGAGAAATCACTTTTTGAGTACAGGCTCTTTGTTTTTTGAATTGTAATTGTATTCTTTTTTATTTTTTTTTAATTTATTTTTTTTTTCCTTTTTGTCTTTTTTCGTGTCCGGCAACGGATCGCAACCCTCAGTGTCACACCCGTACCGGACCGGGACCGGCAATGGGATCGCAACCCTCGGTGTTGCTCCCACACCTCGCTCAGTCAGTGAGCGGGAACTGGGCTGTATGTGGGATCCGAACCCTCGGCGGGAGCGCCACTGCACTCCCAAGCGGCGCACTGTAGCAGTGCGCCACCGGGCCGGCCCATAATTGTATTCTTTTTTTAAAAAATTGTTTTTATTTTAATTATTTTTGTTTACTTTTCAAAAGACAACTGTCAATTTGTTTTGACAAGTGCTAAATTAAAATATTATGGTCTAGGCCGGCCCGGTGGCGCACTGCGCTAGTGCGCCGCTTGGGAAGTGCGGTTGCGCTCCCGCCGAGGGTTCGGATCCCACATACGGACCGGTTCCTGCTCACTGGCTGAGCGGGGCGCGGGGGCAACACCGAGGGTTGCGATCCCGTTGCCGGTCCCGGTCCGGTGCGGGGGCGACACTGAGGGTTGCGATCCGTTGCCGGACACAGAAAAAAAGACAAAAAAAAAAAAAAAAATATTATGGTCTATACTAAAATGTAATGAAATAATTCATGCATTTATCAAGGATTTATTGAATGTCTACAACAGTGCATGCCCAGTTCTAGGATGTGGGAATCATAGTGAACCAAATAATTGACACCCCTTCCTTTATGAAGCTTAAAATCATTGGGAAAGACAGTGTATCCATCTGTTTCTGTTGCTTATAACAGAAATACCTGAACTGGGTAATTTATAAAAAGATAAAATTCATTGC